TCACATTTGCTAAGAAAACTTTATGTGACTTAGTTACACTACTGCAAAGCTGCTTACCTATATGCACATGACCCGGAGAGTTTACATGACAGCATACAATAATGCCCCACATAACCCTATGTGTTTACAAGATAGCATACAATAATGCGCTATAGAACCCTAGGTTTTAACTTCGCAACCTTATGTGAAGTAAAATACGGATAAGCTGCTTTAATGGTTACAGTTCGCCCACAATTGGCTCTCTGCTAACCCATTACTTAAATGGAGTGTAAAATCTGATATGAAGGGCACTTAGTTAGGGATATAGGCAACAAACTAAAGTGCAATTCCCAATTGGGAAACATTTTGCGCCATCATCCACCTAACATTAACAATATTTAATTTCTTATCTCTACTACACCATTGTGTTGTTGAGTACTAGGAATAATCAATTTTCTGAGCATTGATTTCTCTTCACAAAGCTTTTTAAAATAACTCAAATAGATACTCGCCATCTTGGTCAAAACTAAAAGCACGAAAGCTATTATTTAATTGATCTCAACCTCATATGTGCAATGTCAAAAATCATCTCAAAACTTTTGACTTATGGGAGATCAAATAGTCTTGACTCAGATGCGTATCGTAATCTATAAATGTGTCGAGATTGAGTCTTAGCTTTCATACCCTTACACATATCTAGTCACAAATATCATAGTGGACTAAATGCGCCAAAACAAATGACTTTCTATGGCTTTCCTACTTACTTGTGCGCACCCATTGCGAACAAAGTTACACATTCACATGAGAGCAAGATGTCACAAGCGAGTGGGCCCGAGAAAGCCTACTCAAACCATCGTGTCATCATCTCATTAATGCGATTAAGTATAACAAACCACGGGTTTATGACCAATGTTATAAACTAATTCCAATCATCCTAATGTGTGAGTTCTTGAAGATAAGTTTTAAAGGTTTAGGCCCAACTAGGTAATGACTCACGATTAATTCATATTCACTAGATCATAAAAGGATGTCATGGAGATATCAAGTGCGCCTAAGTCGCAAATTTAACTAGTAAGTGCTAATCCCCTGCACCTTCAAGTCAATTTTATTCTCTATACACTTTAATGCATCTAGTTGAAAGATGACGATACTCCTCTTGCCATATCTATTTCTCGCTTCATAGTTACTTGCAATTAATTCTACTATCCACAAGAATGAGAGAATAAGCTATCAATCTATGACAGCTCCTGAAGTAACTTAAGCGCGAATTAGGCTAAAGAGTCTAATTCAACACAATGCTCTCACAAGCGATGCGTCAAATTCTTAGAGTCATAACAACCTTGTCAGCCTTGACCTTTTCATTACTATGATGCAACGTTTGCGCTTAGTGGTAAACGTTATTCAAAACAAAACGTTAGCCTAGTAAAGGAATCATACAAAGAAGCACATCATCATGTCTTACACTCAAGTGTGGAAACAGTAAGTGTCCAGACTTAGACAAGTTGGCAATGCTAATAGATTCTGCAGCCACTTGGCGCTAATCTTTTCACTTGGTGTTAATAGATTTTGTTGCTACTAAGCGCTAATCTTTTAACTTCAAGTGATACTTCAATGCACACTATTATAGTGCATGAAATTTTGCTCCATCTACTCCCAACAGTTGGATAAAGAGCAAAACACTACTCATGCTGGCTCATCATCTTACACTTAATGACTAATTCATTTAAGCGCGCATTTCTTGGATTACGTGACTCTTGAATGTTACTTCATCCAATGATGTAACATTATTTACAAGTCAAATTACAAAGTCAATCCGCGTAGCTCAATAGTCAAGATCATATACAGATCTATTGAGGGCTTACTAATTTCATAACTCCAAAACTCGCCAACCAAAACTACGTAACATGCCGCTAACCATAACGCACACATTAGTTTTTATTGTGCCAAACAAGGCAACAAAACCACGGCGACTTTGAGTCATGTTTCCTTACTTTGGCTCAATTAAGGCCTGACCTAAAGTCTCCAAGACTTTTGCTCATCTAAAGAATAGGACTACATTGTTCACATTTGAACATCTCTACTAAGTCTAGGTCAACCAATTAACTTCCATAAGCCAAGTCAATTTAGAGAGAAATTCGTATTGAGATTAATTTTGATTAGCATAACATAATTTTGCCGCAAAAATCTAAATTAAATAGTGACAATATTACACAAGTCGTAAGATCGAAAATCCGCTATGCTCGTAATCATCTCTTGCGCCACAGGTGACAATTATCCAAAATTTAATTTAATTTATGCGCAAAATATTAGTTTTCGGGAGTAAATCTACAAAGATTTCTCTCAACCGAACAACCTCCCACTGATTATGGCATGTCAAAGCATGATAAATTCCATACAATAGCATCTTAATGTAAATTTACAAATAACTCATGCTATATTCATTTAATAATGGAATTCAAATAAATAAATAAAAAACTAATCATGCTTCTTTAATTGCAACATATTACAAACCCAAAAAATATGTTGTATTCAATATTCAGATTATGCCATAATAAAAAGTACATCATTCTGAAATTTCTGGAATTTTTCTGAAATTTTCTGGAATTCTAAACAACTAATAAACACACATAAAATTAGAAATAAAAAATTCCAGAATCTGATAAACTGAAAAAAAATATACCAGTAAACAATAAAACATTTCAGAAGTCTACAATAAAAATTTCAACCCCAGAAAATTATTCATGCAATACCAGAAGCTTTTTAAAGCATAAATAATGAATTATTCTCACAGAAAAAATACTTTTTATTTTCATAAAAATTTCAAAATTTTACAGAACATGAAAAATTTAATTCTAAGTCTAACGGTACCAACCACGCATAAAACAAATCTATAACGAATTAATTATGACCATTTAACGCGATTCAGAATTTAAAATAGAACAAACAGCGCCTTAGTACCAGCAGCCAAGCCGCTGAGGAAAATGGCGCGGCTCAGCGCGCGGCCAGCGTGGGTGGCACGGACGGCGCGCGTGTGGACAGCGTCGCTGATGCGGGCGTGATGGCACGTGTAAGCGCGTCGGAAGCACGTGGCAGCGCGTGTAAGCGCGTGTAAGCCGTTCACGGCGTCAGTTGGCGCGTGCGGACCACGCGCCGTCTTCTAGGGTGTTTTTTGATCCAATTTTGGTACTGTCAGACTTTTTTTTCCAAAATAAAATCATTTATAATATTAAAAATGACATTAATGAACATAAAAATAGGGTTTTTTATGCTCTTAATCTAATGAGAGTTGACATTTTCCTCCTTTATAAACATTCATGTATATAATGTGTACATATATATACAAAAATATACACATATTTTAATGCATAAAAATAAGCACGAAAAAACCCAACTTGGCTCTAATACCAATGTAAAACAAAGTATAACGCAGCGGATGAAAAGTTTTCATAGTCATATCTTTTCAGCAGAGTCTGAAGTGAAGGATCTCGTGGGTAAATCACGTGCTTCTAGGGAGTGAACAACCAACCCAACAGTGGAGTGATATTACAAAATGAATATCACCCACACAAATCACAGTGCAAAATGGCTTGATCGTTCTTTTTGGGAAAGAGACAGTATATATGAAAAAACATAAAAAACATACGTTGTTTTTCTCTTTATCACCCATATCCCATATCATATCAGATATATAGGATAATATCTCATCTATCCATATCAGTTGATATGATAGACATGGATATCCTGAGTGATTGTCCAAATAAGTTTTGAATTCAAATTCAAACTTACATGGATAAGGTTCAAAAGGTTCAGGTTCAAAAAGTTCAAAGGATCATGCCACATGGACGCCCAATTTCTAACACTTGAGGATAAGCCAAAGAACGTACTTCAGCTTTTGAGGAGTTTTAATCTTCCAAACCTATTTCCAGTCACTCACATCCATCTCATGGTTTGCAATGATCTTATAAGCAGATGCTACAGAGAAATTACCCCAAGAGGATCCAAGCCAGGTAGGGGTATCAGTGTAAGTCACAAATCTGGGTCTATGCATCTTGAGGATCTCTGGAGATCTTGCTGATTGACAATATTAGCTATGACTTCAGTGTTCCAATTCCCTTCATCATCCAGGAGTAAACTCACCTTATCTTCATCATTAACCTGTGGAGTATTATAATTTTGGTCAAGGGGGTTTTGTCCACACCACCAGTCATGCTATAAAGAAATGGCATCCCCATTTCCCACACTCCATTTAATCCCCTCTCTAAGGGTGTCCCTGTTCTTACTTACGCTTTTCCAAATGTGAGAAGCTCTCCTCTTCATAGGCCATTTATATAAGTTGTTCCTCTCCAAATATTTGGCCTGGAGCACTTTGCACCAGAGTTTATCATTCTCAGTTAACATTTTCCAACCAAGCTTATTAGTGAGGACTGCAGCATGGTGGTCTCTAGCTCTTTTAATGCCAAGTCCTTCATTCTCTTTAGCTCTACATACACTGTTCCAACTTACTAAATGAACTTTCTTGCTATTATCAGTCTCACCCCAAAGAAAGTTCCTATTGATTTTGTCAATCTCATCACAAAATTTTCTGGGAAGCTCCATGATTTGCATGTTATAGCTAGGGATGGCAGAGGTAACAGTTTGTATGAGAGTGACTCTACCAGCCAAGGATAAGTTTCTAGCCTTCGAAGCTGGCTGTCTGCTTTTCAAATCTTGGAGTATACATCCATGTTATTATTGTGGACAGAAAGACCGAGGTTTTATTATTCATTCATCTTTCAAAAAGAGAGGTTTTTACCTCAAAGTAAAAAAAAAAAAAAAAAAAAAAAAATCCTAGAAGCATGCCACATAATTAAACAATTAGAGGAGAGTAGTAGGAAATAATAACAAATATAAGAAAAATTATATCAAATTAAACAATTACAATTCAACTACAAAACTAGAAATCCCAACAAATAAATCCATTTCATCAAGTAACAATACCACAAATAACATAACAATAAACCAAAAAATCCACAAAATAAAATTTAATATTTGGTTTGTTTGGCATATGAGGAGGAAGAGGAGTGAGTAGTAGTAGTAGTATCAGGTTCATCACACATGGGAGTAGTGTAATAGAATGGGCTGAGCACATGTTTGACAAAGTCCCTGTACACCACAGTGGCCCTCCTCAGCTTCACCCCTGACCTCCCACCGGCAAAGTCCGTGGCAATGTTGCAGACAGGGTCTGGTGATGAGACCATTGATAAGCTTGATAAGCTTATCAAAACAAATTAGAGAGAGAGAGAGAGAGAGTACCCTTGATAAGCTTGGCACCATGGACCCATTCATTCCAGCCTTGGGAGCAGTCCTGGCAAAGCACTTTCCCTCCAACATGGATGACTCCTCCCATGCCACCTTCCTCCTTGAATGCTTCTGCAAAATTGATACTTGAAGCTGCTATCATCATCAACATCATCATCATCATCAGAAAGGCTTGTGCCATCTCTCTCTCTCTCACTCTCAAAATCTTTGGTGACGATGAAGAAGAAAACAGGATGCATTTATGCATAAATAATATTCTTCATTAAAAACGAACATTATTCTGTGTGGAAGGCCACTACTTGTGACGTGCAAACAATTTAGCCTTTTTTTATATATATAATGACGTTGAGAATATGACAATATTGATGGATATATCACTAAGGATGAATATATTTACAGACACATTAGAAAAATTATTATTTTATACCATGTTCATACCCTATCAACATGCTTTGCACGGCAAAAGTGTGTAGACTAGAAAACTGCTGCAACACATCAGCTTATCACAAGCACTATTCTGTATCTTATACAAGTAATTGCGTATAGATTATTTATTAAAAAATTAAATTAATTCAATAATCAAAATTTCATAATTTTATTATATTTAATTTTAAAGATGAACAAATTTTAAATCATACTTACCATATATATGTACCATGCCAAGGTCAACTTAACCGTTAGATTTTTACCCAAGGTAGGTAGTTATTTCACTTGAATTGTCAACTTAATCGTTTTATCTTTTTGCGGCGTTTTTATAGACTATTGCGGCTTTTTAAAAACGCCGCTAATTTTCGATTTTCTTGCAGTGACTATGGAAATGCAAGAACATAAATTGCATTTTGCACTGTAAATCAGACAATCATAATAACCTCAACACACCAAATGGTTTTAAACTCAAATTGTTCACATGCACAGAGAGAGACACACACACAGAGAGAGCTCATATCATTAAACTAACTCATATCCATAAATCCAAATCAGGATATCCAACATTCTTGCAAATTTGATACCAAATCCAACAACTCCATATCAAAATTTAAAAAACCACCTCAAAATTCCAAAACAGAGTAAGAAAGAATTATCCTCATAATCACAGAAATGAAACCAAAAATTGAAGCCTTGATTAACAAGGCTTGCACAAGCCCATTGACACACTAAGATACATGAAAACAGATTATACATCTGTATAAGACTACTCTGATGACTTAAAAACACCAGACTCCGCTGCTGTCCATTTTCATGTGTCAACACTAGATATCCTGTGCTTCACTTAGAAGCTCGCATCTGGGGAAATATAAAAATCCCAGACGATCATGGGCAAATATTTTAAATCAAACCAGCTTTTTTAAGAGCAGCCTCAAAATCCTCATTACTTCTCCAGGATGGCACCTGCACTCAAAAACAAAAAAAAAAAACAGAACACAATTAAACATTGACCATGTGTACGCCTTGAGAAAGTGACATTTACACCGTTGCTACAATTGCCTCTAGTTTGAATTTGACACACTAGAAATCTCCTATAATTACGTAACTCAGTCAGCAAGGCACGAGCAGAATATTTTACCTCAGCTACTTCCATGTTGAAATGCCTCTCAATCTTGGACATGACCATATCATCTCTATCATTGCACAACAAATTGAACACAGCTCCTGTAGGATCCAGTAAAATCATTTACAATTAGCTGAAAGGTGGAGAGGAAAGATAATTGAAGTCTCCAAATTTATCCAACAGAACGAGAAATACAGAAACAAATATAGCTTTGATGTTCTTTAAAAACACACCAATAGAAAAGGGAATGCATGTGGGCACATATATTGTCCAAGTTCTGGGTTATCCACAGTCAAATATATTCATTTATTCTTTATGATTTGAAGCACAATCCAAGTTGATATTTAATAATGTCAGCAAAGCAATCATATAAATGACATAAGACCTGCACATCTTCGACCCAAGACTTAGACTACTAAGAGAAAACCTTAGTTAATCATAAACTGAATGACACGGTAAGATGTAAATGTCCATCATTCATTTGACACATCCCACTCATAGTCACAACTTACAACACCTAATAAAACAACAATCCAGAACTTAGTTGCAAGGAGCAGAGGCGGGGACGGGAGCGAGGGAGGGGGAGGGAAAGGGAGGGCATATAGAAATTTCTAGGGTTGGGAGCGCCTATGAGTGTGTGTGTGTATATATGTTAAATATATATAAATATATTAGTAATTATTTATTTTTGCTTAGTTGTAGTATGTGTTAAAATATGCATAAAATATTTGAGATTCATGTCAATTGCAAATTGTCTTTGTCATGTATAAATAAATATTATGCAAATAGAAAGTAATATAATAAGTTTAAGTTGTTTTTCTTTTGTTTCTTTGAGATTTGTTTATTTAAGAGTTTCTATCTCAGCAAAAAAGAATTTGACCAAGAAGCAATTTTATTTCTAGTAATGAACAGTTCATGAATGAAATACAAATGGAATTGCAAAGGTAGGGTACTGAAATCAACAAATTTACCCTTGCGGCCAAAACGTCCTGCCCTCCCAACCTGATGCAAGTACACCTCACATTCAGGCTCTGACGGGAATTCATGCTTCACTGGAAGATCAAAATTGACGACCAAATTAACCTATTAAAATGAACAATGTTAGGATGTAAGCATTTTGACCACTAAATGGGTAAATCAACAACAGATTAAGCTAAGAGGTGCACACCTGTGATTGATCGAAACCCCGGGCAAGAAGATCAGTAGATATAAGCACTTGAGTTAGTCCATCTTTAAACTCTTTCACAATCTTGTCCCTGTCTTCTTGCCTCAGAGCACCTTGAATGGTTGTCACCTCATAGCCGTCATGGGCAATTGTTTTGTGCAATGTGCTCGCACTATTTCTCGTGCGAACAAATATGATTGTCTGGCCCACTTTTTGTCATAATTCAAAAATTTTGTCTTTAATCACCATTATCTTCGAAAGTTCATCAGGACATTTCACCTTGTACTGCTTTACAGATTCCAAGGACAGATCTTCTTTGTTCACAAACATTTGGTTGTAATCTCCTTTGAAGAGATCTTTAACAATCTTTGATACGAAAGCCCTGACAGCATCATCAAATGTGGCAGAAAATAGAAGCACCTGATTTTTTGGTAGAAATGAAAATGACATCAGCCATGTGGCTCCATTTTGGAAATGCAAAAAATTTCTTAGTCAAATCCCTAAACCAGCAATCATTTAAAAAAAAATATCCAAGTATCACATGAGAATAAACTTTACAGTGAAATCAGTGAATATCTTCAAATATATTTACAAAATATATATATATATCACAACCATTGTGTTATTCCACTTTTTTGGCTCAGAGGCTGATGGTGCTATCTTAAAATAATCAGCTAACTCATTCATATATAAACACAAACATACACAATAGCATCACTTCATAAAATTTTGCACCAAAAGCAAGATGAAATTCAAGAGTAAACAAGAACAAGACCAGAAAAGATTATGAGAATGAACCCAAAACTGTGTTCTCCAATGGGAGGACGTATTCCACATACCCAAAAGACCATGAAGTATCCAAAGAAGGTCAATAAATGCATGTTTGTGACAAATCCGTCCCAAGAAAGCATAGAGGAAGAATCCCAATAAACCCAAGACTCTTGAAAAGCATTTTTTTTTTTTTTATAAATATGTAAGAAAAGCATATTTTTCCTCTTGCAAATTGGTGAGACAACCTAAACAACACTTCAAACCCACACCTTGAATAAATTATAAAACAGCAAACTTTGACTATCACTTCTAATTAAATTTCAGTACAATATGCATCTTGAAGGCAAATATTGAGCAAAATCCACTCTACCCCCAGGTGGTATGGACTAATAGCACTTACTCCCGTTTGATAAAAATAGTCACTTAATCCCCATGTGATTTTGCACTAAAATGCAATGCATTAATTGTAGTCAAAAAATGACTTTAATACCCCTTAGATATCTTCTCTTTCTCACTCTTTTGTTTACACATTATTTTTAACTTAATCCCATATTAACCAAATAAATTACATATTAACCCAAAATCCCCTAATTGTATGATCTAATTTCTAAATTTTAACATAATTTCTTATTTTTCGTGTACTTATATAATATAAACCATGTAGGAACACTCCTTATGATAATCCACATTTTTGCTATTGAACCTCAATGAAAACTATCGACCTTTGTTTGAATTAATTTAACAGTTGAATTCACAATTAAATACCAAGCTGTGCATTTGTAAATAGCCTTGGTGTGTGTGCTTGTTGCTACATCGAAACAATTACATTAATTTAAGAACAGAGAGACAAGGGAAAGTTTTGCTCAATTCCAATAATCAAATTTGATCTGAGCCCTAATGGTTCTCATGATCATAAGCCACCACTGCAGTGCATATAAGCAGTCCTAGAGTACTCTTCCATGGCCTTCCCAGATACATTCCGACAGTAACTTTTGCTCGAGGTCAAGTCATCAGCTGCTCTGCTAGGACCATAATAAATCGAAATGTGTGTTCTGGTTTGGGTCTGTTCTTCCTTGGGCAGTGATGGCATTGAACTATCTGCTTAATGGCAACCTGGGGAGCAGCGAATGAGGTGGGGGGCAGAGAGGTCAAGGAAGGAGGGGAGCACAAAGAGGTGCAGGGAGGTCGTGGGGCAGGTTAAAGAGGAGGGAGGCAGTGGTGGAAGTGGCGGGGGAGGTGGCTAGAGGGGGTGGGTTGTGGTGGTGAGAGATGTAGGTGGATGTAAGAAAATAAAATATACCCTGTTGATGAAGATAACCCAATGAAGAAGATGATTAGAGCCACCACGTGTTCAAGATCTACAAGAAAAAATATCCTTAGTGCCCAGCTAGCGGTCAATCAGGAGCACTTTAACACCCAAGTTAGTCCACCAATATCAAAGAAATATCAATGGAGAAGTTGTGTGGATAGTGTAGGTGTAACTTTTCTACAAGGGTTTGTTTATATTTATAATAGTAGGTATCTTGCCCACCAAGTTGCACAAACCCTAATTAGGTTACTAAGTGGGCAGCTTAGTTGGGAGTCCATCAGATTAATTTATCTAGGCTAGCTCAGGCCCGAGGCTTATGTAATTTTTACCACCTTCATTTGCCCCTAAGCTTTCTTTTTCTTTGAG